CTGGCCTAGTTTTCTTATCTGAAGTACTGACATTAGTCTAACCCGACAAAAGAAGGAAAAAAGCTAATAAAAGCAAAAGCTAAAGCTAAAGCAGAAGGCATGGTGGAACTACACCAACCCCCCAGAATGAATAAAAGAATGAATTGATGTCAAATTATTGAAGCCAGACATTGGATCATTACAAAAAGAACTCTTTGATGCCTATTTACCTGTAGTTAATTCAGAAACCAGTGCTTGATCCAAAAACGTTTTCTTTGTTATTCTCTCTCTGTTTCTCAGACAAATAATGTAAATTTTAAATGGGAAAAGCAAACTCCGGCCCTATAGGTAGAAGAGATGTTGTTGATTCTTGACTACCCCCCGTCTTCCTTTATATACAACAAGAAGTCCACTATATGGCACTAACCCTTCAAAGACGTAACAACCCAACAAAAGAGAGGCACAGGAGTGTTTGAATTCTTGCAACTAATGATCAACTCAAAAGGTTTTGAATGGAAAGTTTTTGGTGGGTTGGAATCAAGGAATAGTTTTCCAGGCTGAAGACCACGAGTTTTGATGAATTCAAAGCCTGAACTTTTGAATATCTTGTAGGGTGTGAAACCCGCCTTATATAGATTGTGTTCTTAATCTAAACATGGAAATGGAAAGATAGAAAGAGGAGAGAGATAGAGCGGTCAAAGAAAGTAAGCCCATGAGGTATTTCCATGAAAAAACACGATATTGCTTTAAAATCTCCACACTTAATCTGTATGTTTTGTTGGGTTTCATACTTTCATTCATAACAGTCAACAACCATTTAGTCATGTCTTCGGTCATGCACGCGCCTTTACGTTCTGGTGCTCTAAATATGAGTAAGTGACCTTGTCCCACCCATGGTTTGGCCTAATGACTTTTCCGGCCCAAAAAGTTTCCAAATACAATTTTATTACCCAAACGTTATGTTCAATTAATAATTTTCATTAAATATAGTGATATTCATTGTTGAAGACGAAAATATACTTTACTATTTGACTTAATTATTATTATCTAAAACAAAAAATGCGGCAAACAACAGTGTCGCTTGAATGATGAACGACGAGCAAGTGGGCAGCAGGGTGGTGGGGGTTTTGTAGAGTGGGGGCTGGTGAAGCAAACAGTGGTGACAACTTGGATTTTGGCCACTAGATTCGGCCAAAATTTAGTTGGAAGCGACGAAACCCTAATCCAAATGGCATTGGCCAACAGTGGGAGCAATTAGGCAGTAGTCAAGGGGGTTTTGGAGTATGATGTCGGGGAATCTAGTGGTGGTGACGGTTTTGATTTTGGCCATCAGAATTAGTCGAAATTCAACTAGAAGGGGTGAAACCTTTATCTAAATGACAGCGACAGTGGGAGCAATTAGGCAATAGTCAAGGGGTTTTTGGAGTATGGAGGTTGGGGAATCTGTTGGTGGTGAAGGGGCAAGCCAACACTACTAGTTTCAGTCTAGTCATCAAGAAAAGGCCAAATACGGCTGAGAAAATTATCGTTCTAGTTGAGGAGTTATGAAAATGGGAAAAAGGTGATGAAATATGTCAGTTTTGATGAGAAAATCGATAAAGATCATTGCAAAATGCCGATGGTTGTAAAACGAGAAAAAGGAGAAGCAACTGGCCAAGGAAAGAAGGAGAAAATCGAAAGATTGAAATTAGTGCTAATTGACTATGTTACCCTTACTTATAATGGACTTTTGATTATTTTATTCTTCTTTACAGTGAAATTTACTAATATAATTATGTTGTGGGTAATAAAATTATATTTTGAAATTTTTTAGATGAGATAGTATCCTTGGGCAAAACCTAGGATTGGGAAAAAGTCGTTTACTCTATAAATATTTTATCACCGCTGGCGCTGCTGCGTTCATTTTCCATCTCTTTCTTGACTTGTTATCATAAATACATAAAATAAATTTCTATCTGCTCCTTCAGTACTATGAACCACCATCAACCTTAATGGTACGAGAGGTTTTTGAGGCGGTAAGTTAACATCATCCACCGTTACTTTTATTTTGTTGGATATTTTATCCCGAAACTGTTGCACCCTATAGTTGAATACATGTACACACATAATTAATTTTTTTTTTTTAAAAAAAATCTGTTTTAGATTTGTCAATTTTTGACTTCCTTATATCTATTTGTCTAAAACTCAAAAAAGGCTATTCATATTCTCTCTTATTCAAAGGAAAGAATGCCCATAAAACTATGCTATTATATATACTTATGTTTCTATAAAATAATAATATGAAGCTACAGTTAAGGGCATACTAGAGACTATAATTTATTCGGCACACGAGGAGCATTGGTTTCCCATGAGTTGCAATGAAGGGAAACGTTTTATGAAGACTACAATGTGGTCAAGATCAACTCGTTTGGTCAAAATCGAAGACCACTACTAATGTATTGGGAATTTCTAATTTGATTCTATTTTGAACTTTCTATAAATCAGACTTTTCTATGCATTGCCCATCCTTAACGTTGGAAAATTAAGAGATGATTATGAATAATCTTATAGCTATGGCCTCTGAACAATAAAATTAAAAAAAAAAAAAAAATATTCTTTAATTAATCTATTATCTAGACCACTGAACAAGCAAAGTTTGGTTTGAAGGCAATTTTATATTTGACTGATGGACTGCCATATATTTTAATTTAAGAATTAATTTAGGCTTGTTCGTTACTTTAAACACGTTCTTCTGGTCCCGGAATGACCACCACACCATTGTTGAGGAGTGCTGGAAATTTCGAGCAGCAACGCCTTGGAAATTTAAATTTACAACTCCCAAGTCTTTTCTAACTTATTTTTCAAGTAAAAATTTAATAAGCAGTCATCCACGTGACAACAACTGGTTAATTTTATTAAATTCTGAAAAGCTATTAGTCAAGTGGGCATGATTGTCATTTTTAAGAAGACAAGCGAGTAAAGGAGACCGACCAAAATTTCTTCGCTCTTGGGGACCCAAAGAAAATGGGCATTTTAGTAAAAAAAAAAAAATAAATTAAGTAACTCTGCTAGCTGTCAGAGTCGTTGATGGGTCGGCAACGTGACGTGTGCCGTACCTTATTTCTTGAATGGCTGCTACGGCAATTGTCAACGTACTAAATTGGGTCTCCCCATTTTATTACCATGAACACCCAAACCAAATACCTTGACAAAAATTAAAAATGGATATTTCAAATATATATATATATATATATATATATGGATTATTTTGTATGATATAACACTTTACAATATGCTAATAAATAAATTACTAATTTTTGAAATTCATGAGGCATCTCATGTTATAATACTTTAATAAATAAATTAGGGTTAATTACAATAATTTCCTGTAAGTATAATTAATAACAAAAACTCCCCTATATAGAAATAACAAAATTTTCTACCATTAAGTTTTGATATTAAAATAAACTACAAAGAAATATCAGGGATATTGGGATAATTAGGTAGTTATTGATTAAAGCATGAAGATTTTTACTATTTTTTGAAATTGCAATGACAATTTTGCTATTTGATTAAACTTAAAAGGTTGAGAAATAACCCCATATATTATTTTTACATGGAAAAACAATTTGACTTAATTCAGTGAAAAAAAATATTGTGATTATGTTAAAAAATGGTTAAACAAAAGTCTATACCAATACATTTTGTCACGATTAAGTTGGGTCTTTAAATAAAATTTGGTATAATCCGCAACTTGATGATATATTTATAACAAAAATTGATTTCGTCAGCCAAATATTATACCAAATCAGGTTTTAAATATATAGAGCAATACAAATCCCAAATCCAGTTGGTGATGATTATTAAGATTAGTTAGAAAATAATTGATTCGAGTGGAATTGAAGGAATCTGAACTTGTCCCGAAAGGATTAGGGCCTTATATTTAAATTGGGTTGATGGACAGAAGTGGGTCTCTGATCCAATAAAACTTATGGAGTTAAAAAATTAAAATACAAGATTAATCATAAATTTATTTAATTATATAAATACATAGCTTTGTTGAATATCAGTAATTGAAATTTAAATGCTGATTGATTGATTATTATTCATTTTTGTATCGTATAATTACATTGTACCTTAAATTATCATGTAATCAGAGGGAGATCAAAGGTTTAAACCCTGAATTCAACATTTATTTATTAAAAATAAATCATCAAAAAGATTATGCACATGTCATTCTTCTAGTATTAATTTCAAGTTGAATAACTGTAAGCTCTATTTCACCAAAATTTACATTTATTTTGTATTTTATATAATTTAATATGCACATCAAATTTATGGAATTAAGCAACAGTTACATAAGTCCAAGAGATGCATAATAAATATAGAGCAAACGACATGTTCCCCCTAGGCTTTAGCGAAATCTCAAGTTCATACCCATTGCATTTATTCCAAATTGACTTGTTCTATTACCATCTTGCCCTTCACTTTTGATTTCACCCCACCCCACCCCACCCAACCAACATCACCACCACCCACCAAACCCACTTAGCCGTCGTTCAGGCCTAGTTTGGCTTGATTCCGATGTCGATTAACCAATCCGGAGAATTGCCAGAATTCGAGTCGAAAGTGGAAGGGTTTTGGAGAGGGAGATGAAAAGATCATGATGGTGGTGTTAGATTGGTCAATTGGCGCTAGAATCGAGCTAGATTAGGCCTGAATGACGGTCGAGTGGGTTTGATGAATGGTGATGGTGGTGGCGGCAGCGGCTGGATGGTAATAGTGGCTGGGTGGGAGTGAAATCAAAAGTGAAGGATAGGATGATAATAACATAAGTCAAAATTCAAAATTAACTTACAATATTTGTTTAAGGGTGATATTTTAAAATAAATATAATCAGGGGTATAAACTTATAATTTCGCTAAACCTCAAGCGAGAGCCGAGAACTGAGAACATGTCGTTTGCTCATAAATATATATTAATAATTTGTTTTATAATGGTTGTACAATAGAGGAATACACTTGTTAAGTTGTGATTGGTAGATGACAACTGGTAGCGCTTCTAAACAAAATCATAAGCCGCTTTTTAGTGGGACGCAACGTTGCATAGTCCAATCTGGCAGACAGCCAGACACACAAAAGATTCGGCTTCCATTTTCTCTTCTCCTCTTAATGCTGAAACCAGCGATCCAAAATCTCTCTCAACAAACGCTAATGGCAGACTCAACACAATCTTTCCAAGGTACGTACTTATCGTCTTATTTTGGTTAATTCTCTCAATGCTTAAATTTTCTCTCATCTATTGAATTGATTATGGATTTATATCCCAACTTTAACCTATTGATTTACATAAGTTTACCAGTGGTGATACTTGCTTTTGTTTTGGTAGAATGTGCATTTCTGGTTCTTGAATAAGTCATAGGAATTGATATGTCTTGTTTTAACATGTGATCCTCGGTTATAATAAAAACAGTCCACATGCACTATGTTGGATTCTTGTTTGTTTGTTTCAAATTTGCAGTTTCTTCTCCTAAAGCATGAAGTTTATCAGCAACCCAATGGGACATTTGTTGTTCTCTTTACTTTTTCATCGTTTGTTTTAAATTGCATCTTCTATTCATGCCTAATGGCTTGATGCTTACCACCATATTTATCGCAAAATGGTGCCCCATTTGTTGTATGTAGAAGCCGAACTGAGCGTTGATGCATTTAAAATTCTGTAATGTGGCAGATAAAGATGCAAAAGCACCCAATATATTTGAAAGTGCGAATGAAAAGATTGAAGCTGTTTTACACACTGAAAGAACACTTAACAATCACAAAGAGACTCATGGTATGCGAAATGGAATTGATGAAAACACCCCTTTAAGTGATGTCAAAGCGCCTAATATGTTTGAAAGAGCCAAGGAGGAGATTGAGGCTCTTGTTGAAACAATCCATCAGAAGATAGAGTCTCAAACTAATGAAAAAAGGTTTGAATAATGAATGAGAAATTTAATTTGAGGGGTTTTGTTTGGTTATCTAATTGTTGTTGTGTGATATTTGATTCAGGAATCAATCTTCAAAGGCAGGGTCAAATCAAGAGAAATTAGATTCTTTGACAGGTATGAATTCCCATTCTGATATGTTCATTCAGGCTTTAGACAGCTTTATGGTGGTTTTGATTTTTGATTGCTCTTTCCATGTCTAAGATATTTACCAGTTGGAAAAGTTTCAGTGCTAATATACAATATTCTCCTGTTTTGTTATAAGCATTGTTAAATTATTCCTTCTTTGATTGTTGAACCTCAATGTTAACAGAGAAAGAGGTCAAGGCCCCGACTTTAATTGAAAGAGCAATGGAAGAAATTGAAGCTCTCATCCACCACGAAAAGTCGCCGCCCCATCATCATAAAGAAACACCTGGAAGGAGTGATGACATCAACGAGAACACACCCATTAATGAAGTTAAAGCACCAAATGTATTTCAACGAGCAAAGGAAGAAGTTGAGGCACTTGTTGAAACAATCCATCCCAAGAAAGAACCAACCAAGTTTACCTCCTCATCTAAGAAGGAAGGAGGATTCTGGTCTTCCATTGCAAGGATTTTAAAAAAAGTATGCTCTCCTTTGGCTACAAAGAGAGATTAATATCATCAGGGATCAAAGCCTAAATACAGAGATTTGCGTTAGGAATTTGTTTTTTGTTTTGTCAAATTTGTGTGAATGTTTATGAATAAGTGAATACATTGTAACAAACATCATATCACATTGAATCTAGCCTCACTATAAACATGTTATGCTTGAAAAAGTAGGGCTGACACAGAGTCTTGTCAGCATGGGGTGGTTAGAACTTAGGAAGGTTTTGCGACCGTTCAGACGCGGCCACGTCGCATAATGACGCAAGTGGCATGCCACTGTCAGTGCAGTGGGTGAGTGCCAGGTTAGCGGATGGTTGAAAATCGTCCACGTGTCCAATCCCTGCGAGAGTCGAGGAAATTACTCGGGCAGGTGAGCAATGGGACGCAGAGAAAGATTTGCACGGTATCCACCCACTTGCAGATTTAGTAATTATTACCTTGGTTTATCCCACTATAAATAGAGGCATTCCCTCTCATTTGCGGGATCTCATTTGCGGGATTAGCTAATTTTCCTCCAGAATAGCTTACTCTCTCTCTCTCTCTCTCTCTCTCTCTCTCTCTCTCTCTCTCTCTCGTATTCTCTAAACAGTAGCTCAGCTCGCTGAACGCGACCTGACCTTATCAGTAATACAATATCAGTGGACGTAAGATTCGCTTTTGAGCATCCGAACCACTTTAAATATTGCCTTTCACCCATTATTAAAGAATAATGTTATGTGCACTAACCAAAAACTATACAACCCAAGTACTAACTGACGTGGCAGACCTCTCTTATAGCCACGTCAGTTCGCCACAAAAACTAAAAAAAAAAAATTTCAAAATTTCAATTGTTAGTACTTGGATTAGTATAATTTGGTTAGTGCACATAGTATTACTCATTATTAAATTCAATCCCCTCATATCACGTGCGACTTCTAATTCTCTTTAGCATTTCCCACGTGCGAATAGTTGGTGTCAAAATCAAGCATCAACAGTTTGACGCTAGAAGAAGGGACTGATTTAGTACTTGCTCTTCATCAAAAAAATCTCTAACTAATCGGCCCCACCACAGCAAATGGCTCGCGGTTTCGAATCTGAGCGAACCAATTATGGCAATGAAGAGATCCCCTAGGTACAAGAGGACACTTCTCTTGAAGTGCCGCCAGTCCAGCAGAATATCATGGGGGATATCCCTTCAAGCTCGCGGCTTGATTCGGCCGTCATGAGTTACCTAGAGAGGTTTAATAATACTCTCCAAACGGTCAGCCAAATGCTAGACCGATTGGATCGAGTCGTGCCACCTGAATCTAATGAGGCGGTGCCACCGCCAAAGACGCCTGTAGGTCGCGTGAAAGTACGGAAGAGGGCAAAAGCCCATACCGTGTGCACTGCAGCACGTCAAAAAAAAGGGAAAGCAAGTGGCGCCTAGCAAACCCAAAGGCTCCGAGGGACTAGCGAACACCGATCGCACCCCGGGTAGAATACCCGTGGCGTTGCGACTCGATGACATGTCGCGGAATGAGCTGTCCCACGCCACGTCGCATGGGCACTCCCATAAAAGTGCAAGGCGGGGAGATTCTCATTATCTCCAAAGTGACGACTTTGATCGTCATCATGCAGGGGATTCTCACCGTCCGTGGGTCGGTTCGTACCACCGTAGAGGTCGAAAAGATTCCCCGAACCACTCAATGCCATCACACGGCTCCAGCCAGCATGTGTCGAGCCGGAGCCCCCAGCTGAGGTAAGGAGGAGTCCGATTTGTGGTCTCTCCTCAACCACAACCGTGAGGGTCGAACCCACGTTGCGAAAAGTGATCCCTAGATAGCTCCGTTGCCTTAGATTAAGGAGCTACAGTGAGCTTTGGATCAATTTAAAGCTCAACAAAATGAGTAAAGGCAGGTCGTAGAGGCGTCTTCCTTTTCTCCAGTAGTGTTAGCCGCCTCTCTCCCGTCAAGATTCAGAATGCCCGACATGCAAGCATTCGATAGGAATTCCGATCCGCAGGATCATTTGTACGAGTTCAATGACCTCATGAAACTCCACCAAGTCTCTGACTTGGCAAAATGTCGTTGCTTGGCGGTAACCCTTATCTCCCATGCCAAGCAATGGTTTAGGTTGCTCCCAGCAGGATCAATCAGCTTGTCGCCTCAAATGAGCTCGACATTTCTGAGGCACTTCCAAGCAAACAGGAAGTTCTCAATGCCGCTAAGCTACCTAAACAACATACGACAAGAGAAGGACGAATCCCTCTAATTTTATATAGACAGGTCTCACAGGGAGCTCCAAAAAGTGGCTCATACTCCTGAAAAGTCTGTTTGGACTCTCATTATGGCGGGAGTTTGCCCGCAGACAAACTTGTGGAAGGAGCTGCAATCTGAGGATGATGTTTTCCTCACTCGCTTTTACAACCTTACTGAAAAGTACCTCTAGATTGAAAACTCAGTGGCTGCGAGTGAGGAAAACATCATCCTCGCTGGTAAGTGGGGCAGTGCTTCCAATCGGGGGGAGAACAGGAGGGCTGATCGCAGATGGGCTAATGACGATCAGCGAAAAGGAAAGAAGCAGCGATACGAGCCCAAGAAATCCTATGCCCTAGTTCCTCATCGCGATCGCGACAAAAGTCAATACACTCCTCTAAATGCCTTAGTATCGGCTATTCTGGATAAGTCAGAGGAGGTCGATTTGCTTGGAGAGCCCGAGCCCATGAAGAATCCCATGTCGGCAAAAAACAATAAAAAAATATTGTCGTTATGATTGCGATTAGACCTGGCAAAATGGGTTTGGACCCGCGGGTCGGTCCGTACCCGGGTAAAAAAATATAGGGTACGGGTCTAATAAATTAAACCCATTTTTTGTGACCCGTACCCGTACCCGGTCCAATAAATCACGGGTCATACGGGTGAACCCGTGGGCACCTGTATTTGCCAAGGCTACTACTATTCACTGAATGTCTGAATCCCTAAAAGTCTTTAATTTTTTATCACGCAGAGATCACAGTTCACACTGACGCCTCCCTCTCACGCCTCCCTCTCACAGAGTCACAGTCATCACGAATCACGAATAGAGATCACAGTTCACACTCACGCAGTCACGCTTCCCTCTCACGTCTCCCTCTCACGCATCTCATCAGTCATCAGACTCATCACGAATCACGCTCACGCCTCCCTCTCACAGTCTCACTCTCATCTCAACATCTCATCTCTGATCTCTCAGTCTCAGATCGCGGCTGTATCTCATCATCAGTGAGGAACCAGCTTTGATTCGTCACTTCGTCAGTTCGTCACTCGTTGCTTCGTCAATCGTCAGTCATTTCCATTCCTGGTTCGGGCCTAAATAGCAATTAAAAAACCACAACAAACTAAATAAAGCTACGAACTTTACCAGAAAAATCCAAAAAGCAAACAAACCCAATTGAGAAAAACCATCAACAACAACAAAGCCAAGAGTTTTTCACTCACTCACCGATGAGAGGAACATAGAATCTGCAAGTCTGCAAGCCATGGTTGAGCAGTAATGCAGAAATTCCAATTCAAAAGACCCCAACTTGGAGTTCGAATGAGTGAAAGGAGAGGAAGAGGGCTGAAGAGATAGGCTTGTGCTCTGTGTATTTGGACGAAGCAACCAAGAGGGTCAGAGCAGAAGCCAATACTCGTGGCCCTCTCTCCCTAAAAGTGTTTCACCTGTTTGATGTCTATATTGCAACTAGTAATCCTTTTATCCTTTGTGGATAGATTTTCTTGGGCAATTGCAACCATTTGTTGTTGTTGTTGTCGGTTTTTTTTTTTTTTTTTATTTACAATTATGTTTGATTTTATTTGTTTATACTAAATTAGAAATATTATTTTTTAGAAATAAACAATTATGTATTTGTTTATTTTAATTCGTATTTATAGTTTATTGACTTATTTTGTTTGTTTATGTGTAATTGTGTATTAGTGATTTTGTATTTGTTTATTTTGGTTGGTATTTGTAGTTTTGTATTATATGTTATTGTTTGTTTATGTGTTATTTATTTATTTTGGTTCATATTTGTTTATATTCTTAATTGAATTGAATTTAGAGTAGTTGATTTAGGGGGTGTAAATGTCAAAAATTAAAATTACAGGAATTTTGGGGGTGTAATTGTCATAATTGAAAACTATTAGGGGTGAAAGTAAACTAAAATCTGGAGAGAGAAAAAACGGGTCTACCCGCGGGTCCACCCGTACCCGTATAGGGTAGGGCACGGGTCCAACATATTGGACCCGTATATATCGACCCGCACCCGTATAACCCGCACCCGTATAACCCGGACCGTACCCGGCCCACCCACCCGTTTTGCCAGGTCTAATTGCGATAATGGGTACCACACTAATGAATGTAGGGCCCTCAAGCAAGCAATTGAGAATCTCATTAAGCATGGGCACTTTAAAGAGTATGTCGATGACTCTGCTTCCGTTTGGGAGAAAAATCAAGAGGAACCGGGAAAGAAGCGTCGTGGTCGCAAATGTCTCTATTATGTAGGGATTATCTTTGGAGGATTGCACCTCACAGAGAACTCTCGAGGTGCCCAAGAAAGGTATGTTTGTGCAGCCCATCATGATCCTGTAAGTGTGATGAGCACTATGCCACAACCCGCCAAGGTTCACAGGGAGGAGAAAATCACCTTCTCTGAGAAAGACGCAATGGGATTGCATCATCCCTACGACGATGCTCTGGTCATCGAGCTTGAAATAGGTTGGTGCAAGGTCCACAGAATATTGGTGGACAATAAAAGCGCCGTGAACATCTTTTCTAGCGAGCCTTTGAGAAAATGAAACTGGATGAGGCAAATCTAAAGCCTATCTCTATCCTTTTGTATGGTTTCACCGGGGATCATTTGATTTCCAAAAGGACGATCTCGCTCCAGGTCATGTTGGGAGAGACCAACGAGATGACCAAAATGACTAAGTTCTTAGTAGTGGACTGTCCATCTGATTTCAATGGCATCTTGGGACGACCTCTACTACGAAGTTTCAAAGCAGTCACTTTAATCTACCAGCTGAAGATGAA